AATTACCAACAGAGGACTTTAAAACAATTTAAACATCATATTGAAGCTACATCTGAAAACGGTTGATAGTCCCTCCTTTTACTTCTCATAAAAAAATAAATCAATTAAAACCTAAGCAATATTTGGACAACACCACCTAAGGAAAAATGTTGGATTCAAATAAGGGCCTGATTGCTTCTAGAACACTAAATATGGTATGGTTCAGGTGTTCTTTTAGAGTTAGTGAATACAGTAATAAGTAGAGTAGATGTATTTATGATTTGTAAACATTTCTGGATGAGTGAGTGGATGAGTTGCTTGTCTTCCCATGCCTGACTGCATTCTCAACTTGCTAAAGACATTTGACACAAAATAATTACAGAAAAAAAGACATCTGTGTGATTTAGAGGCATGTAAAATCTCAAGTCAATACCAACCAATTTTTAACTCTTCTTCTCTATGCTCACATTAATGATGTTAACTTAGTGGCCCAATATTTTACTATTTGTAACCACAGGCCTTTTCTTCAGGTCATCCTTCCAATCTTTGAAAGATTAATATGGCATTCTGAGGTCAAAATATGTTTTTGTCGAATCAGGCATACAGGAGGTTCTGTATTGCCCAGAAGTCAGGTTTGTTTCCTCCTGAACTTTTTGGGGGTCAGGTGGTCATCTGGAATCCACCCTTGGGGTGGGAGGTTCTGTCATGGCACTGATTATTGTCTTAATTACTCATTCCATTCACCTGTCTAACTCTGCCCAGTTTCTCATCACTGCTGCTGCCTATATTTTTCTCATCACCTGCTCCTGCCTATATTTAAGGTACCTGCATCCAGTCATCAGGGCCGGATTATTCTTGTTCTCTCTAGGCATTGGTGAGAGGATTTTAAGAGTTCCTTGGTATTTCTGATTTCCTGATCCTGACTCGTTCTGCCTTTCAACCACTGAGCCTGCCTGTTCCCATCTGTTCTCAGTGATGAGAGTGTTTTTAGCTTTCCTCAGTGTTTCTGATTACCTGATCCTGACCTGTTCTGCCTCTCAACCACTGAGCCTGCCTGTTCCGATATGAACGGTTTGCCTGAACTCTCTTTTGACTCCTGGACCTCTGAGCCTGCCTTTTTCTGTTTTGTTGCCTTAAATAGTTGATCCTCTCTTCT